ATTTTTAATGAATTTTTTCCTGAGGTAGCATTCAAGTTTGCGAAAAATCCGTGAAATCCACACTCCAGACACCACCAACAAAATCTATTCCATATATCAAAAATTTAACAATCTAATTTTTATATTACCTCTTCTCTTCATTCTGTGAAAATTTCATGAAAATTGGAAGAAAAATGGTGGAGTTATTCAAAAAAATATAGAGAAAAGTCGCATTTTGAGAAAACGGCCGATAAAGAAAAATAAAATACTGACTTTATGAGGAAATGGAGGTTACAAACATGCCAGGTATGGGAAAAAATATGGTTTTTTGGGGGTCCCTATGCCATGAAATAGTTGTAGGAGAGGCTGGGGAAGCTAAAAATGCCTACAACTCAAATTCCATGATTTTGAGCCGAATTTTGATTTTGGGGGTGTAGCCCCCCCCCCCCCCCCTTAAATATAACACGCCTTTTATTATTTCATACCTATAAATTGTAAAAGCTTCACCTGTAAGAGTGATGTATCTATTTTCATAGGGCTCGAATCCGAGAAGTAACTCATTTTGTCTTTATATTTTAGTACTAGAGTTCGTGGAAGAGATGTCACCCACGTAAGCTAACGGGAGTTGCGTGTGTCCACTTTGGGACGCTGAACCTCAAAGGCAAGATAATAATATGTGCAGTTCAACAGACGGGTGAGTACTTTTTGAGACTCAAGTGGAGGCGTCTCGGCGGTCCCAGGAGGAAATATTATACAAGCTTTCACTGAAATGTGTGTGTGGTTTTTTTTTTTTTGGGGGGGGGGGGGGCAGGGAGGTGTTTGATAGATACAAGAGCTCGCGGGGAACGGGGTGGGGGCTGAGATAGTTCACGTAATTGGGAGCTCGCCGGCTATGCCTTTGAGGCACCCCTTGTTTGACGCGTGTGACGTCACTGCCGCGAGCTCAAGTATTATATATATAATCTCTTTGGTAGGGAGCTGATGCACGAATCTTTCACGGTTTATATTGTGTGAACGTGTGAGGTGACGTAATGAATGCGTGGGTCCGCCCTTCATGTCCGCCATGTAAGAAATAGTTTATAAATAGTCACAATTTTTTCTGTGATTGACAGATAATGCGATAATTAGAGAATGAGAGAGAGAGAGAGAGAGAGAGAGAGAGAGAGAGAGAGAGAGAGAGATAGATAGATAGAGAGAGAAAGAGAGAGAGAGACAGAGAGAGAGAGAGAGACAGACAGACAGAGAGATAGAGAGAGAGAGACAGAGAGAGAGACAGAGAGAGAGACAGATATATATATATATATATATATATATATATATATATATATATATATATATATATATATATATATATAGAGAGAGAGAGAGAGAGAGAGAGAGAGAGAGAGAGAGAGAGAAAGAGAGAGAGAGAGAAACATCTGTCTGTTAAATAAACGTAGGTGGCATTCTCAAACTTTATGTAGATTTTAAAAAAAATTTGGTAAGTGTTTTACTGCACTCGAAACTGTATAAGGTCATAAAATCATACGAGCGCGCGGGACACACCAAACATTTTCATTTGGTAGGAAATTTTGAATTTTGCCCAGGTAGTAGCCGAAGCCTACTCTATCGATTTTAGACCACCAAAGGATATCTAACGCGCGCGACTTGCACACGGGACCTCCGAGATATTTCGCCCTTGTCTGAGAAGGATAGGTGTAGATCTTTCCTACCAGAAGATCAGAGGTGTGGCTGAAAGACAGCAGTAAGAACGAACCAAGGAGTAGCAGTAAAAAGGCTGCTGAAAGAGTCAGGAGCCCAGAGGAGGGACAGAGGAGGTGAGGGGTGGGGGCAAAAAGTGGAGACGAAAGCATACGACAGAACATTGGTAGAGAGCAGGAAAGGAGGGGAAAAGAAACAATATTAGAGAAGAATTATTTTTCGTATCTACCCGGATTCGAACCCGGGACCTTTGAATGAGAGTCGAACACCTTAACCTTTCGGCCAAGAGAGCCCCCAGAAGTACAGACTTCAACATAAGTTAAAAACCTCTAGCAAACACTTTGAGTGGTCTTATTGGATCGACCAGCACATGGGCGTTCTTGGACTGATCCAGTGGCTTGATGGCGCTGCCTCAGGCGGACAATGACAGAGTGTGACTCTGCAAGCCTTCTGGCAACTTCTCGGGCCCCAACTCCATCCTGCAGCCATATCATAGCTCTGGCACGATCAAAGTCTCTCAGCTTTTGTCTCGGTGGCATGTTGATGCGGTACTGGATTGTGCGCAGACGGCGGCATATTATGCCACCAAAGTGAGAACAGTTCGACACCGTACGTCCGTTTATGACGTGCACCAGAAATTTTAGCAGAGGGATGTCCGTTGTGTTGCACACACGTCGATAAATAACAGCAAATTTGGCTGAAAGTCCTCAATGGCTTTCCGTGCTGCACGTGGTAGTTTTGCCCTTTTAGTTTTAGGAAGCCTTGCAGAAAGCATTGGTAACCCATCAACCATTTCAGAGCAAACAATATTTTAAACATTCCTTGCTGTCTTTTTTTCTGATTAAAAAAAATCAAGGCTGTCCGTCAAGGTGGTCCTTAACTTATGTTGAAGTCTGTAGATTTACAGGCAGCGCAGCCTGTATTGCCAAAGGGCAACATGAACCAGATGCAACACAGGGTATTGAAAGGGAAAGTTTTGTAACTTGGCTGGGAGGAGGTTTTGGTTTGGAGGGAGGGGGGGGGGGATTACAAATTAAAAAGATCATCAGGAAAGTATGAAACAGAGAGTTTTTACAGTATATTACTGTCAAGGGAGTGTGCGGTGGCGGAGCGGTTAGTGCTCTCGTCTACGAAGCAGAAAGTCCGGGTTCGAGCATCGGTTCGGACACGGATTTTTTCCACCCCCTCCTGCCCACCCAGCAGTAATGGGTACCTGACTTCGAGCTGGGGAAGTAAAGGCGACGTGGAAAAGAACTGGCCACCAATATTATTATGCCGAAGACCCAGGAAGTTGTCTCACTAACAAGGCAATCCCCATTGTCCGGATCAGAATGCAGGAATCACTTTAGTGTCAAGTGCGATTCGTTAACTGGTGAAAACTGGCGGAGCCGGTCACTTTTAATCAGCTGTATTGGACATGAGATTGGCCGCTGATAATAGTTCTTATTCAGTTTCAAGTAAATCCAAATTAATATATAAAATATTTATCAACATTAAAATAGCAACTTCCCTATAAAAATGTGCCCAAAGAGACAATAAGAGCTCACCGATGTGTTGTCGCACCACAGAAACTCGTTTCTAAATTTCAGTTTATCCCACTGGCTCACAACGTTGTTGTACCAGCTGCTGTCACGATATGCGCCTTTGTATCGCGCACTCAGCGGTAACGTCACCCGGCGTCAGCGGCGAATTGAGCAGTTGCCCTCAGAGTGGAAAGAGCCCGAATGAAGATCACTTTTCTTGCCAATTTGGCTCTTCTGTTGCTAACAAAGGACAAGACGCTCTTTAACAGTACATCCTATAATTTCATCAGTAATATTTATCTTTAAACCTGTCTCTAGTCACTCTAGCCTCAACAGCACAAAAATCTGCTTCGACTTCGACTATCAAGGCACACAGGAAAGAGCATTTCACAAGAGAGTGACAAGCATACAAAAGAGACATGACGACAGTAAGGATGAGGAAAGAAAAAGCAGCAGTTCCCCTTACGTAGTTTCGGCATAGTATGTGCATGACGTTGATCAATCAGCCCATTTACTATTCTACTGTGCATACGTTCAGGTTGATCATTGTTCTCAAAAGGACACCGTCCTCAACCTTATTGTAAGCATCCTCGAGGTCAAGCGCTGCTGTCAGAGTCTCCTCGCCTCTTTCAAACCCATCATATACCCCCTGGGGCGGTGCTACTGACTGAAGGGTCTTTAGGCCATTCCCAAAGGGCGGACATTAACAATGTTCTTATGCACAGTAGAATTGTAATTGTAAATTGGCTGATTCAACAATGTCACGCTCATAACTGTGCCTGAACTTCAACAGGGAACTGCTGTTTTTTTTCCTAATCCTTACTAGATCTATGGCACTTTCCCCTCTTCTTCTTTTGTATGCTTGTCACACTCTTGTCTTGTGACATGCTATTTCCGGGTTGCCTTAATAGTCTAAGCAGACTGTGTGCTGTTGAAGCCAGAGAGGTGAGCAGAGTAAGTCTGATTCCCTGTAAGGACTTCTGTGTTGACATCCACCCCTTGGCGCTCCTACAACTTTATGCAGTTGCGAATGCCGTAAAACCTCTACTAAAACAAAAACCCATCATTCACATCTGATGCTAGGACAGTGGCATTCATCCACGTTTCCTTCCCCCTTCTGTAGCCACTCAGAGTTGAATATACTGCTTGCTCGGTGTGCACGAGTATGGGTGTATATGCCAGTGTGTGTATGCGTACGTGTATGTGTGTATGTTTGTGTGTGTGTGTGTGTGTGTGTGTGTGTGTGTGTGTGTGTATGTGTGTGTGTATGTGTGTATGTTTGTGTGTGTGTGT